ACACACACACATNTAATATATATATATATATATATATATATATATATATATATATAATATTTATCTATATATATATATGTGTGTATATATATATATATAAATACATAGCAACATAAATATACATATATGCATATATATATATATACATTCATACATACATACATGCATATATATACACTAGTCTCGACAAAAACAAGGATCCGTCCCATAAATCTCACCAAGGCGACCGGCGATTGGTATAGTCACAGCAATATTGTCTCACACAATAAAGCACTCACCACACACCACCCACTCACCTTCTTCAGACTTGCCTATCAAGTCCTTGCTGCCTGACTTCCTCAGCTTTTCCCTATCCTTCTCCCGGCTCCTGCTGCGCTCATTGTCTGAGTTATAACTACTGCCGGGTTCAGGCCCCCGTCTTAGCCCCCCTCTTTCCGCACTGTCCAGGGGTCTTTCCGTGGGCCTTTCGAGGCGCTCGTACAGTTGGTGTTGCTCCACCACACGCGTCTGTGTCACACGTGTACCTTTGCTGTCACTCGCCACCACACTAGCCTGCCGCGATGCACTGACCACCGACACTCTCTCCGTAGGTCGTCCCACGCCCCTATCTCTACCTACGTCATCTCTACCCGAGCTATCAATACCTACAGGCCTACCCTCACGGCTGCCCTGCCGGTCCTTCTCCCCGTCTCTCTTGCGGGTTGCGTCGCCAGACCTGCTCCTAACTCCCCTAGCACCACTCTTTCCACTGCGGTCTTCGCCTCTACCAACACCCTTCTCCCCAACACGGTCCCCTATCCGATCACCCAGCCGATCGTTTATTTTGTCACCGATTCGATCGCTTATTTTGTCACCGATTCGATCGCTTATTCTGCCACCACCTCGGCTCTGTGCCCTGTCTCTGTCCCTTTCTCGGCCACCCCCTCTCTCCCGATAGCCTCCCCTCGCATCCCGTGTATCTCTTGCTGCACCCCTATCCCTATCCCTATCTCTATCTCTATCTCTATCTCTGTCTCTGTCCTGCTCTCTACTGCGGCTGCGCAGTCCCTCGTCTGTGCCCACATATCTTTCACCACCCACACCCACACCCGCATTGGAGGAGAGGCCTGAGTACCGGGGTTTGCTGATAGGTACGCGCGTGTGGGTGTCTGACTCTTCTGATAAGGGTCTTCTACGGTTAAGCTCACGGAATATGCGCGACGATGGGCGGTGGGGCAAAGGCGACGGAGATAGCACCGACGGATGGGATGATATCTAAGAGAAATGAGAGGGACTAAAGATTAGAGAATGGCTCGCCAAGGTGCATGAACCGAGTGGATCTAAACCCTAAAACC